TTCTAAGCATGTATTGAAAAACGGTAAGAGAATTAAGGAAATATCTCATTAAATTAAAACCAAAGTAAATGTTTGCCTTAATTTTACCTCACTTTTTCCATAGTTACCTAATAATGCATTTATCTCCTAAGATTATAAACTGTATTTAAGTCCAAATAAAATGAATAAAACTTGGAGATTCTTCAGACATTAACAAGACATATTTTATAGTTGTCACTCCTGTGATTTTGCAGAATTAAAACCTTTGTGTTTCTTCATTGTGTCATAAAAAAAAAACATGGTGACTTAGAAGTTTCAACTTCAACAGTCTGAAAACTTTCATAGGTGAAAGAACACAATAAATTATTAAATATTTTCATATAATTATACTGAAAAATGTATTTCTTTTTTTAATATATATTTTTTGGTTGTAATTAGACACAATACCTTTATTTTAATATTGTGCTGAGGATTGAACCCAGGGCCTCACACATGCTATGCCATCACTCTATCACCTGAGCCCCCAGAAAAATGAATTTTTTATACTGAATAGGAACTACTCTTCTGATGTTCACCCTTATCAAGGTAACATGATGTTCATTCACATAAAGTAAAAACACAATAAATAATCACTATTAAAAGGAGGTCAGAATTTCAAGTGGCCTTGACAAACTATTTTGTTCCTCTGAATAAAGACACAATCTATGGCTAAAAAGGAATGGGAATATTGATTTTGACCTCTGTTCTCAGGGTCTGTTAGATCAAAAGAAAAAGAAGTTGGTGGAGAAGGAGGAAGAGGAACAGGAGGAAGAAAAGAAAGAGGAGAAACAGAGGGGAGAAGGGAAACATGGAGGAAAATGAGAAGGAATAAAGTAAAAGGAATTTTAAGCCAGGAACTGTTCTTGTTATTTTGTGATATGTTCTTATAATCTACAGCACATATACAAATGAGGCGATGGAAATTGCTAACATGGAGAAGTGGCAGAGAAGCTTAAAAGAAAGGAAAATATGACATACTACATAATAAAACATAACTTATTTTAATAAAATTGATACAAAGAAAATTTTATAAATGACTACAAGTCACTGAAGAATTACTTATAATGATTACAAAGGGAAACTATCTTTCTGAATTACTCCAGTGCAGAAAACTTGGAAATGACAAAGTTAATTTCTAAAAAGCTCATTATTTTCCTCTAAGTGACAAACAAACCCAGGAGGGAAATAATTCCACACAATATCTGATATTTTTCACCACCTGGGCTCTCTCAATGTCTGCAGTAAAACTTGTATTCCATTCTTACTATTTAATAGAGACAGAATTATAAGGCAAATAATAGCAATTCTAAATAATAACCTCTGTAAATGCTTGCCCTTCCTAATCCTATTTCATATTTGTCACCAAAATCACTGTAAGATATTTTATAAATTGTGAAAAAAGGTAATAAAATAGTAACTGTAACATAAGTCATTGGGTAAAAGCCATTATTATTATTACTATTATTATTATTATTATTATAGGAATTGAACCCAGGGGTACTTTACCACTGAAATGTATCCCCAGCTCCTTTTATTCTTTTATTCTGAGACAGGATCTCATTAAATTTCTGATAGTCTTGCTAAATTTCTGAGTCTGTTCTTGAACTTGCAAGCCTCCTGTGTCAGCCTGCCAAGTCACTGGGATTACAGGTGTGTGCCACCAAGGCCAGCTTTAACAGCCATTAAATCTTTAAAAACGTGATTTCTATTTGACAGGAATAATGCTCCTTACTTTAGAGTGCAATATATTTTTTTAATCCAGTGGTAAATATCTTGGTAAAATAGGTTCTTCATATCATACTATGAAGTATCCTATAATTTTTGTTTATTATTATTTATTTTTTTCACAAATATTTATATATTATCTAAATTGAGTTACACTAATACTCTTTGACATGGGAAAATAGATCCTGACCTCATTTTGTCCTATTAAATTCCTGTTTTATTCTTTCCTGAAAATGCTCTTTAATTGAAGAAGCTTAAATCCTCCAATATTTAATCGTATCACTCTGTCGTTAGTTTTTCTCATTGAGGATTGCTTTTCTTCTCTTCTCAGAACTGTACACATTCCCCCAAGGATATGACAGTGTGACACAGGAAGTCACACCCCCTACAATGCTTTGATGTGGGAGCTTGATTGCTTCATTCATTAAGTTGTCTCTGTCTCAGCCAATATTAGGAAGTTTCTTGGTAAGAACATTACCTTTAATATGTAGTATGACACTATTGACCAATGGCTTAAGAATTAAAATAATAATGTGTGTGAAGCAATGACTTTTTATGATGGCACCCTGAAAAAGGACTTCACCTATATTTTCTCTTTTAATCCTTAAAACAACTTGCAAATATATGATCACCCAGATTTTTGCTTTTTAATAAACAACAGGGATGGTGACAGATGTAGTTATTTACCTAAGATCATAGAGCAGATAAGCAGTGAAGCTGGACTTGGGCCAGGCTGGTCACATCTGGAGCCCACCATTAGCTGGGGCCAAATCACTGCGATATCTGCTCAGACCCATGCAGTAAAATTCCCTCTGCTAACTCAAGTTAACACCAGATATGCTGAGGTTTAAGCCTGAAATTTTTAGCAATTATATTTCTGAACTGTTCCATCTTATAGTGCAAATACTCTATAATCTCTCTCTATTTTTAAAATGTCAGCAGAAGTGACCTAATCAGAACCTTCTAGGCTAACCAAAGGAAAGAACATTTTTGCCAGCCACCAGAGGGTAAGTGGAGTACTTCCTCAGTAGGGCTAGTCTATGATCTTGGCTATCTTAGAAGATTGGAGTTAAAAACAAAAAGGCTCAAATCTTCAAGGACTTCAAGATAGAGAGGAGAGACCTAGACAAACCACATTCCTCAAAAGCTAGGTATAAACATCCAATACATGGTAAGACCGAATATATATTAGTTCTACTCCATGCTTTTTTGTTTTTAAAATGTCACCATTTATTTACCTTTTATCTGAGGCATCAAATAATAGCAATAAAAATATAAAAAGACTGGGGTAGGGAATAATCTGCACTTTACTAATAATACATTAACTCCTACACCTCATAAAGATAGCAGCTAAAATTAATGTTTAAAAAATCATTGGTTTTGCAATGAAACAGAGGAAGAGTCTCTCTTTTTAGTGGACAGTATCTAATTAAACATAAGCCAGGAAATACATTCTAATCAGAATTTTCATCCATTGTACCTCACCTTTAGTGTGTTTTAATATTGCCTGTTGCATCTTTGCAGTACAAATTGATAGAGCTCTCTGATGGCAGTTCACACAGATGTGGTCACTAGGAGTCAGCCACTTACTGCTCTAAATATGGTTTCAAAGGCATGAAACCATGTTTCCCACTTTACACTTTCATTACTGCTCTTGTGATGAGATAAAAGGTAAAGTTTTAAGTTGTTACTCCTTGTGGGAAAATTCTATCTGGGTCTCAGTTTTATTTTCTCTAAAATGAGGTCAGTGGACTAAATGACCCCTGGTTGCCACATGAGACTTAAGTCTACACTGAGAAGAGAGAAAGAGTTCTCACAGAAGAACTCTCCCTTAAAAGGGGAGGGGGAATTATTAGGAACTAGTTGTCTTAGAAGACTGCACATTTAAATAAGGTAGGTATTGGTTAGTGTCAAAAGGCTACTGATTACAAGAAAAGTGTCATTCCCCCTAACCAAATAAGGAAGTAACTGAAACAAGTGATAAATATCAATTGAGAAGGAACAAAGGAGATGGGGAAAAGGAAGAAGAATAATCAGTAGAATATAAAAGTTCTCAAGCTATTCTAAATAGCAAGTGTCTAGAAGGGTTACTTGAGTATCAGGTGAAATGAAAGCCCTTTTCTAGAAAAACTGCTCAATTTAGAACAAATTGTGCCATCTTCTAATTGACCAAATTGTTAAACTGAAATTACAAAAGAGGTAACCTACTCAGGGTTCAAAAGAGTGGTCCGTTTATTTATAGAGGCTAAACAAAGCTTGCTCTACTGAAGTTCATGTTAACCACAATACTCAAGAACATCAATATCCAGTGTTTAAAATATTAAAATTTTCAGGTTTCATGGGCTCTAATTCCTTTTGTGTCATTTTTTCATTGCCACAAATATATTTTCCATTTTAATTGAAAAGCAAACTTTCAAATGTATTAAAATATACAGTAGCAAAAAGAAGAAGCAGTTAAAGCCAAAGTTACATTACTTAAAAATGTGAGTAAATGATAAGGAATTTAATCCTGCTCAACAAATTAACAGAATTTCATTCAGAGGCTGCATTTCTCACTCTGAACATCTCCAATAATATTAATACCCTCGTGCATTTTTTTTTAGTCTTTCGATATTGAGCACTTTTTATAATCAATGAACACTTTTGCAAAAGCATTAGAAAATATTTCAGAAACAAATACAATTGCTGAACATCCATTTGAAAATGTAAATCCATTTATATAATCAACCAAATTGACTGTCTTTTACCCAGTTAGCAGCCCGCACAGTGGTGGTAGAAGTTCTATGTACAAAAACCTGAGAGCCAAGCCACAGGGCATCTTAGCAATTTACCTGGCTGGAAATTTGTAAGGTACCAAGTAAAAGGGCGATGCTACAAACGCGAGGTTTTGCTGATCATAGAATTTTAAGATGGCATGGCATGGAGCTTTAGCACATGTTGCAAACAGATTTTAGAAACTGCCGGACACTGTCCAGGACGCTCTGCAAAGTTTCAGCTCCTCAGAAGTTGCAGATGCCAGTGGTTGCCCGCAGGGCAGGACAGGAAGCGCGCTCCCACCTGCTGGGTGCAGACTCCCCAACTGAGAAGCCAGAGGACACAAGAACCCCTCCTGGCTGCCCGGTAACGGGAGGAACGGGGAACGTTCTCAGTGGCCCGAGGGCAGTTATTGTCTAAGGGTGCCCCTTAGTCGCTGCAAAGTACCCAAAGGCATCCCGGACGCACCCCCATCCAGCCCCTCCGAACGCGAGAGCACCCACCTGGGGGCTCCAGGCCGGGGGCCAGCGGGTCCCGGCTCCCGCCCTCCTGGCCGGACGCTGCAGGCAGCATGGATGCGGACGAAGTCAGAGATCTGCGGATCGCAGCCCGCAGCCCGCAGCCCGCACGCCAGACTCTCCACTCTTGGCGAGCTCAGGTCTCGCTTCGCGCCCCTCCCCTGCCCGCTGCCCACCCGCCGCGGCTGTGGCCCAGGTCCCCGGAAACGCAGCCAGGGCTCAGGCCACAGGCCAGGGCTGGGCTTTGCTGGGTGCCCTGGGGAAGTGAAACCGTTCAGGGGCTTGCTCTTTCATCCCGTTTTCAGAAGACTGCCTAGGTTTCTCATGATACTCCTGGGCCAATTTTTCTTACCTTTTTTTCCACCCAGGGACTCTTGAGGCTCCTGTGACCTGTGTTATCTGTGACTGTAGCTCTAGCTCTTCTTGTGCATTCGAGGACCATATTATTCCAGAAGTGGAGGTAATAATATGGAAGAAGGGATGCCTAAGGTGGACATTTGTTGGAAAGGGGGAATAGAGAAATACATGTAATTTTTAAAAATACTTTATTTTACTCAGACTTTCTGGATTAGGTTCATATGTTGTAAAGTGATGTAAATTCCATATATAAAACTTATTTCCTATCCCTTGCTCCAATTCAGAAGTGGGCCCAGTGGAAAATCTGTCATGGATCTAAATAATGGTGTTTATAGGGTAGGATAGGGATATAACCCAGTGGTAGAGCGCTTGCCTGGCAAGCCATGATCTCCAGCACCCCTGGCCCTACATCCCAAAGATCGAAAAATATCCTAGTAGTTGTCTTCGGAGTCTGAAAATAAATACCTCTTCTATCAAGGAATACAAAATTAGGAATTTGCCTTTTGAAGTGGAAGATCAATTTGAAGATTGGATAATAGAACATGGTTGCAATGTCTCCTTTCTCATAAAAGAAACCTAAAGGAAGGCTGGCTCAGCAACTATTTCTCTTACAAAAGTCTATTTTAGGAATATTATAAATATCAAGTATCAAGAAAAAAAAAGACTGTTAACTTTTCCCACATAGCTGGACATGTTACCAGAATTTTATAACATAATGTAGAAAACTTGGAAAAATATGTGAAAAGTCAGGAAATTTTGAAAACTATTATATATTTACTTCCTATCGAGTAGTTCTGCTAGCTTCATTATTAATTTTATTTTTGTGAATTTGAAATAATAGAGCAAAAAACTTTATTTAGCCTATGAAATATTATGATATCGGCAAGTTTATTGTCTTCTATACATGATTGTTTACCCAGAAACTTCAGTAAAATAAAAACAAAGTTTGAGTTGCAGACTACATGTAAACTTTTGGTCTGTAGTTTATGAATTTAAATTCTTAGCATAGTCTTCTTAAATGAACTCATTGGGGGAAAGAATATGCTAATTGGTATATTTCCAAGTGTACATATTCTAACAATAGCAACTTTGTCACATACTTTTTTCTTTTTCTTTTCTTTTTTTTCCTGTGGTATTGGAAAGTGAACTCAGGACCTTGAATATGCTAGGCAAGTGCTCTATTGCTGAGCTACATCCCCACTACAGTAGCTACTTTGACTGCTATAAACTCATATGGTGCAACTCTACATCATGTACAACCAGAGAAATGAAAGTTGTGCTCCATTTGTGTACAGTGAATCAAAATGCATTCTGCTGTCATGTGTAACTAATTAAAACAACAACAACAACAACAAAAACTCCAGCTGATGTTCCTCAAAGAAGTATTCAAATCTTTGAAGGTTTTCATCAAAGTACACAAAAATTTATTAATAAATAAAGTCTTCAGATGTCAACTTGTATCTGTCACATGTATGGAACAGCCTTCTTGGAATGGCAGTTAGGGGTTACCCTGACTCTAAATTATTTATTATCTGGGATACTAGAGAAATTCTTAGCATTTCCAGTCCTTACATATCTCATCTAAATGAGGAAATTCCAATAGTGATATTCGAGACTCTGCCAGCTATAAAATTTTATGACACCGTCTCCTATAACACATATAGGAAATAAGATTTACAATGCATAGGAAAACCAAGTACATTTTCGTATGCTCATTTTTACTGCTTATATGAATATGATCCTGATAAAAGAAAAATGGGAAAGTTTAAATATGTTTAAAATTATGAGCTGGTTTTTTAAAACAAATCTACGTCATAAGATTTTGTTATAAAATCTTAAAAATCTTCCACTTACAGTTTAAAAATCAATCCTGCTTTATTTATTTATTTATTTTTACTTGAGAACTGAATGACAACACAATTCTTGTTCAAAAGTTATAAGGTAACGTGTGGCCCATTGACTTATTTATTTTTTATTACTATTGCTGTTAAGAGCTAGTCTGCTTCTTTATTTTTTAAGAAAAATATTTCACCTGCCAAATCACTATGTAAGAGTTTCACAATGTTCATGGCATTGGGTTCTCAAAACAATGTGGTTTTAACCATATTTCAGAAATGAGGAATCTGGGTTTTGAGAGTTATAAGTGACAAAACTGGAAATCAATCCTAGAATTAAATCCAAAGCCTGCTCTCTTACTTGTAACCCTTCCTTTGTTTTAGTCCTATAAGGTCATTGCCAGTGGTTACGTAGACATCATAGGCAAGGTTATACATATGCACATACAGTGGGTACCCCCTCTCTTATCCTTGGAAGGTGAGTTCCAAGATATCTAATAGAAACCACAAATAGACCAAACTCTCTCTATATATGGTTTTGTCCTATACATGCAACTTATGATAAAGTGTAATTGATAAGTGAGTCATAGTGAGAAATTTAAAAAATAAGTAATGTTAAAATAGAACAACTACAATAACATAATACAAGTTATGTGAATGTGAAATCTTATTTCTGGAATTTTTTGATATTTTCAGATTATGGTTGTTCAGGTGAAACTGAAACCATGGAACATAAAACTGTGGATAAGGACAGACTACTGCATTGAAAAATTGCTTTGGTTTTCCACAGAGCTATAATTCTATAGAATGAAATATCAGTAGCCTTAAAAAATGGGCATGCATGGCACTCATAATGTATGCTAATTTGGCACTATTTGGTTGAGACTATAGACAATTTCACACACACACACACACACACACACACACACACACACACTGTGGTAATCTAATTTTTACATTCCAACTTTCCCAATGGATTCTTGAAAATATATTTTAGAAAAAGTTCCACTTATTTTGGGTCTTCGTTTCTTAGTGTTAAGCACATTGTTAATCAAAGTTGACTTTTATTTTTTCCCCTGCTTTCTCCCTAAAGTAGATGATACTGTCTGAAATGTTGGGTTATTGCTTGGTTCGCATTTATTCTAAGGGAAGAGGCACTTAGTAATTCTCACAGTGAGAAGCTTTTCCAGTCACAATGCCACCAGCAGCGTGTAATCGCAAGTTTCTGATTTTACCTCTGTTACAGAATGACAAAAAAAAAGAAGAAACAAAAAAACAGTGCTAGCCACAGTTGGTTGGTTTCTTGTTTCTCGATATATCAAATTCTTGGAATCATTGACTTCTTCTCTTGCATTCTTTTTTCTAGCAGCACATTGACCGCCCCGGTATTATTTCTCCACTCTGTGGAGATTATAAGGGCCTCACACTGACTCCATATTCCAATAATGGGAGAGCTGCTGCCCTGTTGCAGTTGCCGTGGCTGATTTCCTGTGCCCTTTGTAGATTTGATGCTTTCACTCCTGCTCTTGGCTGTATTTATGCTTTTAGATCCTGAAATGCATTTAAAACAAAACTGATTCTTTCCTAAAGCAATGACCTATTGTAAAAGTGAAACGGTTTGTAACTTCATAGCCCATTTATGAATCAGAGAATTTTCTTCCTGATAAACATATCTAGATCTTGGACACGAAGAAGTCATATTATCTCTCTAGGGTGTTATACTTCTTATTCACTAGTTCAAAACTGTAACAAATGCCAGGGACATTTGAAAAAAAAAATTCCCAACTATAATACTGTTTTTGTAAAAATAATTTTTGGTCATCACTAGGAAGCTATGTTTCTTTTCTTATTCTTCCTAACATTTAGATGAATTCCGTAACACTAAATCTGCATCATGCCCCTGTCTCTCACAAAGATGCCCACATCCTAATTTCCTGAACTTGGGTATAGAACAACTTAGATAGAAGGTGAAATTAAGTTAAGGATCTTGAGAAAGGAAGAATAGCCTGAATTACCCAGGTGGACCTTGTATTATAAATCATAAAGGTGCTTAGAAGACGGAGGTAGGAAGGTCAGAGTGAGGAAGGAGATGGAGTGAGATAATAAAAATTGGAGTAAGGATCTTTGAATAAGGAGGGAAGCATACAAGACAGGTAATGCAGGTGGCCTCTAGGAGCTGAAAAGGACAAAGAAATGTCAAACCCTGCTGACACCATGACTGTTAGCCCATGGAGACTGATTTTAGACCTCCGACCTACAGAACTGTGAATCTTCACAATTTTTATAAATTTGTGTTGTTTTAAGCTGTAGTAATTTGTCACAGCAGCAATAGGAAACTAGCACGTTCATCATAATAAATTGTTTGGAGAGATTCCTTAGAAGAAAAATCTTTTTACATCCTTTTAAATAAACATATATTAAAGAATACTTAATTTCCTTTAGCATTAATTTGCTAAGTGCCTGTGGAGCAGGATCTCATTTCTATTCAGTGGTTGCTGTAGCTCTTTGATATTCCTTCCTGCGGTGCTGTTTGCCTTCTGTACTTGCATCTGTTCTCTAGTGACTGAATAGATGTGCTAATCTCTTTTCAATTAGATTGAGAATGACACATAACAGTAACCAAGTTTCTGCTTTTACTGTGGCCTGCACCACCACCACCCCTCCACCCACACCCTTGACTGTGCTAAAAAGTGAAACTGAGTTTGCTCCAAAGAAGCTTGCTTAATAGAAATGGGTTTTAACAACCCATGCTAGAAACATTTGGATGCCAAGAAATCTAAAATTCTCCATTTCTCTTTTTGGTGGTTTTGGCTTTCTTTGTGAGCTATGATAATTAGCTTTGATTTCTATCCCATAATTATTGATTCAATTAGAGTTTCAGCAGTATTCCTTACCCCCGATGGACTGTTT